ACCCGTCTCCCACTTCATTTCTTTATATTCCCCTTATTTATCTCTGTCTGTCTTCCTTCCTATTCCTCCCTCACCCACCCCCCCCCTCCTCCCTCCTTCCGTCTCCTCCTCCTCACCCCTCCCCAACCTGCCCTTCACCTCTCACACTCTCCCACTCCCTCTCCCCACACCCCCCACCCCAACCCCACCCCCTCCCCCCACCCCCCCTCCCTCACCCCCCATCCCTCCCCCCTCCTCCCCCTCCCCTCACCCCCTCCCCCCACACCCCTCCCTACCCCCTCCCTCACCCCCCTCCCCTCCACACCCCTCCTTGCCACTCCTTTCCCCCTCCCCTCCACCCCTCCTTACCCCCATCCCTCACACCCTCCCCCACCCCCCCACCTCCCCACCCCCTCCTTCACCACCCCCATCCCCCCCCTCACCCCCATCCCCACACACACCCTCACCCCCCATCCCTCACCCCCCCCTCACCCCCTCCCCACCCCCATCCCCACCCCCCCCCTCACCCCCCTCACCCCACCTCCCCAAAACCCTCCCTTACCCCCTCCCCACCCCCTCCCCACACCCTCCCTACCCCCTCCATACCCCCCCTCCCCTCACACCCCCCATAACCCCCATCCATCACACCCCTCCCTCACCCCTCCCTCCACCCCCCTCCCTCACCCCCTCCCCACCCCCCCCCCTCACCCCTTACCCCACCCAACAACCCACCTTCCTCTTTACAGCTCTTTTTACCTTCATGACCTCTGACCTGTGTGACGCCTAATACCTTCAGGCGTGTGGCCCTCCATCCCTCCCTCCAGTACTCCCTCCATCACTCCTTCACTCCCTCCATCACTCCTCCTCCCCTCCATCACTCATTTCCCCTCCATCCTCCTTCCCTCCATCACTCCTCCACCCTCCTTCCTCCCTCCCTCCATCACTCCTTCCTCCCTCCACCATTCCTTCCTCCCTCCACCACTCCTACTCCTCCATCCTCCTTCCTCCCTCCAACACCCCTCACACCTATACAAGCCTGCCCCACCCTCTGCCCTTAGTTTCCTCCCTACCCTCTGCCCTTAGTTTCCTGCCCACCCTCTGCCCTTAGTTTCCTGCCCCACCCTCTGCCCTTAGTTTCCTGCCCCACCCTCTGCCCTTAGTTTCTGCCCCACCCTCTGCCCTAGTTTCCTGCCCTACCCTCTGCCCATAGTTTCCGCCCCACCCTCCGCCTTAGTTTCCTGCCCACCCTCGCCATGGTTTCCGCCCTACCCTCTGTCCTTGGTTTCTGTCTACCCTCTGCCCATGGTTTCCTGCCCTACCCTCTGCCCTTAGTTTCCTGCTTACCCTCTGCCCTTAGTTTCCTGCCCTACCCTCTGCCCTTAGTTTCCTGCCCTACCCTCTGTCTTTGAATTCCTAGCTAATCCCTAAAGTGCCTTTCTGTCTCTTTTTACGGCAAGTTTTCATTTTACTTCCCTTCCCATTCCCTCCCCCATTCTCTCCCTTACTCCTACCCTTCTACCCTCCACCCTCCCCCCACTCAGTATACCCTTCTAATAACCTTCAGTCCCTTACTCCCTCCCTCATCCCTACTCTCCCTCACTCCTACCCTTCTATCCTCCCTCCCCAATAGCCTTCAGTCTCTCACCTATACCCTTATACTACCCATCCCTCACTCCTACCTGTCCTCCCGCCCTCTCCCTTCTCCTCTACCTCCTTCCCTCACGCCCCCCCCCCTCTGCTACCTGGCGTCTCCCTGGTACGACCCTAGTGCCTCTTATAACCTTCTCTCCCTCCCAGTACCTCCCCCCAGCACCTCCCCCCCATTCTCCCCAGCACCTCCCCTCCTCTTCACATCATCCTCCCCACCTCCTCCCAAGTACCTCCTCCTAGCTCTCACTTTCCTCCGGTTTTCCTCCACTCCCTCTCCTTCCCCCATCTCCACCTACTCCTCACCCCTCTGTAGGAACCTCCATCTCCTCCCTCCTCAGCACCACCCCTCCTCCCTCTCCATGATCATTTTCTCCTCCCTTTCCTTCCCCATTGCTACCATCTCCTCCCAGAACCTTCTCTTCTCCCTCTCCCCCCCTCCTCTCCCTCTACCACCTCCTGCAGGGGCAGATGTTAGGGTGAGGAGAGGCGTCTAGAGTCACCACTGACACGCCCGGGACCCTCACTTGTGTCTGATGGCTACATTCTGCTTTTTATGTCGTTGTTATGGTTCGCCTGTTCACCTCTCCTTGTAGATTGTATTAATTATTATTTTGTCCTTTAAAAATGGGCAATAAACTAGTATATAGTAACATGTGCACCTGTCGTAGGCCCGTAGCCAAGAGAAACTGGAGGTTGTGTGCACCGCCCCGGGCTCATGTCTTCTGGACCGGCAGTGTTTTATTCATGTTTACTCGGCGCCCTCATCGCTCCTTCACCGTGGACACCCACTGACGCGTCCTTTATGTTGCCTGTCACACAAACACGCGCCCCAACCATTCTGGAACTGATCCTTCTTTTTATCCAACCTCGCCTGATGTATATCAAGAAATATTTGAATATTATCACCAGAGGCAAGACAAGACCTTGGGGTACACAGAACACCCAGCAGGACACACAGGCGGAGGTAACACAGTATACACAAAATATCCCCCGTAAACCCTAAAGTGTGTTCCCTGACATCCCTATTTTCCCATCGCTTGACCCCTGCATTTTTAGCTCGACCCGCCACGTGCACCCGACCATTCACGTCACGCGCCCCTCCCCTCCCCCTCACACACATACGTCCCAACCTTTTAACACACACTCTTTTATAAAACTTTAATCTTCAACACATAACTAAACTAAAATTTCTAAGACTCTTTTGGGTAAATAATATAATCTATATACTGTATGTACCGTTTTACGATACGAGAGAAGAGTTAAAGGAAACAGTTAATCTTACACAGCTGTAAAGAAAATATAGGTGAGTTGCGGTGAACGGGGCGCGCCGAGAATGCAGACCACCACCACGACGTTTTTACTGCTTCCTCCCTCGCCATTATCCAGAAGGACCGTGAAATGGACCAGATATTAGCCGCGGGTTACAAAACGATCAATGCCCAGATTAGCCGGGCCCACATCTTTTACACGACATCACAGAGGTGCCTATTGACGAGACAAAGAAGTCGAATCCTCTTTTCCATACACGGCTTAACCCGATTACACCACAATTCTCTGCCGGAGGAGGAAGTGCCATCTCTTTCTCCTTACATGGATGTTTTAGAGGATTAGACCAGCGCACAAAGGTGAATATTACTAAGCTCTCTTAAGCAGTTTTTCCGAAATGGGATTGAATAGACGAGGAAGAATGGATGAGCCTTGAGTTTTTATCCGGGAGTTATTTAGGGCAGGCGGGGCGGGCGGGGCGGGCGGGGCAGGCGGGGGCATGGACGGCCCTCATTCACCTCTACTCTCTCTCACACACAGATCTAATAACGATAACCTATTAA